GTGTCATGCTTTATGATGCTCTGCATGATACAACTCATGGAATATGCCATCCTAAGCTCTTTTGTCCTGGCAAATGAATGCTTCAGGAAAGCAGAAACTTTAGCACATTTGTGCTTTTTTTTTTTCTGAACCAAGCATGTGTGTAATTCCAAAGGAATGGCTTGTGACAGCACTTCTAACTTAAAATCTTAATAAGGGAAACAGAGCTTTGGATCAGGCTAGAATGTGCAAACAGCCTTTAACTATTAAAATGAAAGGAGAAATCAATTCCATGATTACCTTTCATGAGTTCATAAAAACATTACCCCCTTTCCCTCACATCTCTGTTAATAAATGACACAGATCATCAAGACTGAAAGTAAGCATTTGTTCATGAGAAATATATTAAGCATCATAGGACAGGAGACAGCAAATTTCAAAGCTGTATTGAAATGTAATGCCCTACTGGAGCCTTAGTAAGCTTGAGGGCAATTATATAAATGAGAATGCACATAACGTTGCTTCATAACATGCAGTATGTGAACATTTCGGGTCAATCAGACTAGACTTAATATGCTGAGTAAGCATAATTAACCTAAGAGTGAAAAATAAGATGATGCCCATCTTATATGCTGCCTTTTTTCCAAACACACAAATTTATGCTTTTTCACTTCCAGCAATATGGAAGATACAGCAGTTTGAATAGTGATTTGGATTTATTTTCTTTATCAGCATTCACTGAATTGAAAGAAATGTCTTTGCTTAAACTTCCTTTCTAAATTTGATCTTATATTTGCCTACTGGAATAATATAGTTTGTATTTGGAACAAGGGGAAATAGATATGCATGCTGCTCCAACATCATGCTTATAAATATTAAATATTAGGGCAAATATTCATTTTAAAGATGCAAGTTGAGATCCTACTCATGTGAGCAGCACACTGCAAACATCCTACTATTTTCTACAACAATGCCAGGGATAGGCCTACCCTTTTAATGAAGAATTTATACATATTATGGGCAGTTTGATCTACTGATTGATCTACTACAACTACATTTATATTTTATGTGTTAGGAAAGCATAATCTTGCTTCATAGAGAGTACATGGTGGAAAAGTCTATAAAACTGACTAGCTCAATAGTTACCTCAAGCAAAGTTGAATGTAAATTTCAGTTGAAAACTCAATATTCCAGCATCCTTAATATTTCAGAAATCAATAATATGCACTAATGTCCTCACTATTATTAGTGATAATTATAACAAAGAAGCTATTAATTATATTGCTCCATTACCACAGAATTCATAATTGAGAATTTTAATCAGAAACGAATACTGAGCATATAAAGGGCATTGTTTTCTCATATTAGTATTATATCCTATTAGTAGTACTATAGCTATAGAGCTGATATTCATCAGTGTCCAGGTTGTGATCCTGCAGTTTCACATTACACTCAAAACAATGAATTAGAGCTAATTCAAATAAAGAGAGAGAAGGGGAACTTGTTTATAGATAACTTAGTCCTATAACAAGGGCTGCAATTTAAAAAAAATCAACTACCTGATGTTTTTATAATTAACAATTATCTAGTGAAGTCAAAAGTTGAAAAAGAAAAAGATAACAAACACTATGCTTTTATATAATCTATTAATCTATAAAATATGTAATAATCTAACCTATGACCATCTGAAATGTGAAGTATTTCTTAAAGTAACCTGTATCAGTGACTCTTCATCTTTAGCATGTATAATCACAAAACTAGTAAATAATCAGATTAAGTCTGAGACTCTTATGTACTTCTGTCCTAATAGTACTACTTTTGATCTTATTTATAACTATATGGATGCTGCAAAAATAGAACTTGAATAGTTTCTTTAGATTTCATGAGATTTTCATTTGATTATTATACGTGGTAATCTTTTTACATTTGGGAAGAGCTATGATTGAAATAATTTAAGTTGTTTTATTAAACAAATGAGATGGGAGTATTTTGCTCAGAACAGAATTCAAATCCTATATATTGAAAACAAAGATACCAATAAGCAATAATGCAATCAAGCATCCAGATAGTGCTCTGATTTCTATTTTATTTTATAGAGAAGATTGGTTACTGTATATCTGGACTGAGCATTACATTGTGCACATATGTACAGGTATATCTATACATTTATTTGTACACACATGGGCATTTATAAATAGATACATCTCATATATATGTTCTGGTAACCATTTTATTCCACACATTTCAAATGTATAGTTTTTTTGCCCATAGGAATATAATAGACGTCTATAGCTATAATTTTAAGAGTCTGAAACAGAGAAAAATAATATATTTTAAAAATAAAAATATATTTATTTTGATAACTTTTTGCTTTTTAAAACAGAAATGACATTTTGGACTCTATTACCTAAATAATTTGAATTGTAAGAGAAAAGTAACAAAAACATACTAATGAATTATATTCATTATGAACATTACTACCAAATGCTCATATGTTAAAGAAACTTGTCAGACTACATTTTATAAATTGCATCCAAGATATGATGGTGGTGAACAAGTATTTGTCCCCACAAGCAGGATATGCACCAGTTAAGTGTAAAATCTATTTCTAAGGGTCATGATAAGGTCATTATGATTCTGATCTCTTTTTTAACTAAATTGAAAACTTACTATTTTCCCATGAAGAAATCATATAAAATCCAGTTTATCTTTTCAACATATTAAAACTATATGCTAGAATAATCTCATTTACAGTACAGAAAATAAAGCAAATATTTTAAATTGAACTGAGGTTATATATACATACACATTTTGCTAATGATTTTATTAATCTTAGGAAATTAGAATAAAAAGAGAGTTCTTTGAATTTTTACTTCCTCATAAAGGAGAGGAAAAAGAAGATACTAAAATATTAAAGCAATAGCATATAGACAATAAGTCAAATATGTTTTCAGTCTACCCAGGATTCAAATTATTTTTCTGATTATTTTTCTGATTAGCCCATCACTCACTACTGCAGTCCATTTCTATTCTAGGACACAATCATTTAAATTTTATTTTAAACCTGAGCTATTTGGTATCTCCAAATAGTATATATGAAAATCTATTTTTCTTATTCCTGTCCCTTAAAACAGATTCAAAGATTTAGCATTCATAATAACATAGTCTTAGTAAGGAAAAAAGTCCCTAGTAATACTAAAATATTACTCTTTTAAAAATAGTTTATTGCAAATTTAAACATAGGTTTGCATTTTATCTTTTAAATAAAAGAATGAAATGAAGTACAGTAATTTCTGTTTCTAGTCAATAAAGCAGAAATACAAAACAGGTTTTTTTTAAAAAAACAACAGTTTTCTGAATGTTAATGTAATTTAGAAGCAAACAAAACCCAGATATTAAGCAATATTAATAAGTTATCTAATAGCTACATATCTAAGGGTGTGAGCGATACAATAGTAACCAATGTACAAATAAAATTAACATCACCCATATATATATATATATATAAAATGCTAAGGTAATATGAAATTCTATAAAACATCAATACTCAGCAAGAATTCAGTCACACAAATACAGATCTAATAAATGCAGCACAGCACAGGAAAAAAAATCACAATTGGCTAGAATTCTGTTTATTATCTGTCCCAATGACTTAAAACTTAAAATATTTATTAATGCGATCAGAACAAAGGCATTTTCCAAAACCCATTAACAAAAACAAAAAAGCTAAACAAATATGCAAAACAAAGTGAAGAAAGGAATTAATCCCCCTTTCTAAAAAACCTGAATGTTTATTATCATTGCTAATGTTTAATATAATACTAGTGGTGTGCTAAATTCCACTTAACCTCAGCTATCTATCGAGGACTGCCAATTATTTCAGCTTCTTCTAAGAACATGTAACCTTGCATCTGTGAGCAAAAGTGCTCAGTTATTATTTGTGGCAAGAATTTTTGTGACTGTACTGCTCAGCAATTCTATTTACATCAGCAATGCTAAATGCCCAATGGAGAAAGGGGAGCCAATCAGATGGCAGATTAGATGTCAACTCAGAGGCAGCTGTCTGGAGACTATTACAGCCAGTTTACCTCCACAATTCAAATTCCAAACCTCGCAAAGGAGATCAAGTCACTCTTTAGGCTCAGACAGCAGAATAAGAAACATCAAGGGCGCGGAGTTATTTCCTATCGTTTTAAAGGTGCTAAAAAAGAATCTCAAGCAAGCATTGTTCAATCACCATCTGATACCTATTAATTTGGCAACCTACAAGATGCATATAATCAGAAAAGATGTATAGTCACCAAAAACCCGGACTGTTGATCTCTTGCAGCATTCAGGCCTTTTCTAGTTAAGAAAAAGAGCTCTTTTCACTTAAAACACAACAGATTTTTAAAATGATCTTCCTCTATATGCTTTTAAACTGAGTGTATCCAGACTGGAAAGGCAGGAGAAACATGCAAAAAGAAAAGGTCATCCAAAGAACAACATAAGCCTTGAAAATTATCAGTGGTAGGGCACATATACAAGCTACTTAACCTGTTTCTGCTAGGTTTTGGAATACAACTGCATCCAAGCAAAAGCAATGTGTTAATAACTTTAAAGGTCTTTTTTCTGAAATAATCAGGACAGGATAAAGGCAGCATAACTGGCACAACCAATAAAATGACAGTGGTCCCTCCCTTTCCCTCTCCAAAGTGGTTCTCCTCCGGGCCTTGTGTGTTCAGATTTCTAATAAGTCTAGAGTAGGAGCACTGGGTGGGGTAGAGTGGGTCTCTTGTATTGTTCAGCCGCCTCATAAAAATGGTCTTATTTTTTCGAAGAAAAGTCATTCCCCCTGTGATGCCTCTCTAACCTAATCAGAGTCAGACATTGTGCATTATCCAATCCTGTTAGGGAGGCAGCAAGCAGTGGAGATGGAGTAGTAGAGGAAAAGTAAAGCAGAAAGTAAGGGTTGCATCGGACACATTAATACACGAAGTTAAACCACACAACGGTTTGCTCTTTGGGGTTCTTATGGTTACCTGGTTCCTGCTGAGGGTCTGTCCAGTGCTTCCAGGGCTCATAGCAGGGTGATTTCTTTGTTGTGCAGCTGCCCAGGCTGGGTTTGCAGCTCCATACTGGGAGCCCATGTCCTTGCCCATGACTGCCTGCTGACTTCCTGGGGCGGCTGCGGCAGCTGCTCCCTGAGCCGGCTGCTGCGATGGGGCACCGCTGGGGCTACTATAATCAGGGTAGCCTGTGCCATAGCTCCTCATCATGGGGCTGGGGGAAGTCAGCAGCTGGTTCAAGGTTGGGGTGGCTCCAGACGGGTGTTGGTTTTGCCCGGAGAATCTTTGGAAACCCGCCGCCCCAGATGCCTTTCCCAAGCTCCCGCCGCCGCCAGGGCCCAGCATCATGCCCTGCTGGTGCTGCCTGGGGGAACTCAGCACCCCGAAAGCAGAGGACGAGCCCCCATAGCCGCCGCCGCCGCCGCCTCCTCCTCCTCCTGCAGCCGCCGCCGCCACGGCTCCCGGTCCTGTGTTAGTGCCGCCGCCAGGCCGGCCGTAAGCGCCCGAGTAGTGGTTGTACTGGCTGTTGGCGTAGCCTTCGTGCGAGTTGGGCAGGGGGTCCATGATGTTGGGGGCCGCCGCGGGGTGCATTAGCCCCATCCCGGGGCTTTGTTGTCCGCCATGTTGATCAAAGCAAGGCCCGGCCCGGCTCGCTGAGGAGGCGCCTCCGCCGCCGCTGCTGCCGCCGCTGCCAGCGTTGCCGTAATAGCTATTAAACTCCGAGACACCCACCGCTGAGGGGCCGCCGCTGCCGCCGCCGCCGCCGTCTCCTCCTCCAGTGCCGCCGCCGCCGCTGCTGCCGCCCGCTCCCTGAGGTGGTGGTGGTGGTGGTAGCGGTGGAGGCGGCGGCGGCGGCTGCTGCTGCTGCTGCCCGCCCAAAGGTCCCAAACTAGGGTGGTCGTAGCGACTGTTGAGGTGCTGCTCGCCCATTTTGTCCGGCGGCGGCGTCGCCTCTTCCTCGTCCCCGCCTTGATTCAGCAGGGGCTGAGGCTGCGGCTGGTTCTGGGGCTCGGCCTGTCCCCCCAAGCCACGGTCTTTTCCTCCATGTTGCTGCTGCTGCTGCTGCTGCTGCTGTTCCATGTCTGCGCTGCTGGGCTGAGCAGCGCCGCCGCCGTTGTTGTTGCTGCTGCTGCCGCCGCCGCCGCCGCCGTTGTTGTTATTCTGCATCGGATGGTGCTGAGGCGGCGGCTGTGGTTGGAATTGATTTAGCTGTTGGTGTTGAACTGCATGGTGGTGGTAGTGATAGTGGTGGCGGTGGTGGTGAACGTGGGGGTGCTGGGCACGGAGGTGAACTGGGTGCTGGTGCTGGGCACGGGGGTGGTGTGAAGGTGCGGCGGCAGAGGGATCGCCTCCAACGCTTTGCAACTTATGATTGGGAAGCAGCCCTATCTCCATAGGAAAAGAAGAGGAAGATAAGCTCGACACGCTTCCAGGGTCTTTTAGAACCAGTTCCGAGGAAGAGCTGCGGCCGCTGCTGGTAGCGTTGTTAGGAGCCGCGGCGGCGGCAGAAGTTGCATTACTGGCCATGTTCACTACATTAGCTTGGTGAAGATGGTGATCTACATTATTCAATCTGCTGCTGCTCGTCCCATCTACGACCCCCAGGAGCGAGCCAGATCCAACAGCTCCGACGGTGCCAGCCCCAGAGTTAAAATCCTGGGTTAAGTTACCCGTCAAACTCTGGGTTTTGACCTTGCTTTTGCTCGCACTCATCGGAGCCACTGCTACTTGCGCGGCCATGATCGAGGAGACTCAAATATCTCCCTCCCCTTTCCTTCGCACACAACCCCCCCCCCCCCCCACACACACTTTAGAAAAACTGGCAAAACAAATAAGGGTGTGGAATTGACAGGAGCAAGAAAACTCCAAACTGGCCCCAAAGGACGGGGGGGAAAGATTTATTTGATGGAGGGAGGAAGGGAAAGCCTGTATGATTATTGCAGGCAGGCGCGCTCACGCGCGCGCTCACGCGCAAACAGCACAGCTTTTTCCTTTTTTTTTTTTTTTGGAAAAATGACAGAAAAGTCCCCTCCCAAAGTCCTTGATGGAGATCAGAAATTGAAGAATGCCTTACGGTCCGTGCCTGTTCCTGCTGTGTGATTTCATGGTGAAAGTTATTGTTGTTGTTGTTTTTAGTCTAAATGAAAGTTTTTTCTTTTCCTCTCTAGCCCGGATATGGGTAAACACACGTCTGGCTGAGCCTATCAGGCCCAGCATGGCTCGGGAGAGAAGGGAGGGAGGGAGAGGCGAGGAGAACGAGTTCTAACAATTATTATCCACTTCTCTCTGATTATCCTGGTATACGTGGAAAACGCGGACTGGATTTCTCTTCCGTCTCCTGCTGCAGCTCTTATGGCAAAGAGGATCCTCTGGAAAAGAGAGAGGGGCAATTCGCAGCTTCTTTACGGCAGCCTCCTTTCAGCATCAGGATAGCTGACATAGAACATGATAAAACCAGGGACGGAAGCTGCCTCTCCCCGTTTTCTCTTATTCAAAGGCGTGTGAAAAGAGAGGGGAAAATGTTTTCCCTTGGAGTAAGGGATAAGGTTTTCTAAAATATACCACCTTGCTATTCTCTTCTGGGGCAAGCAAGGTTATTTCGAGTAGTAAGAAAGAGGAAGAAGGAAGGAAGGAAGGAAGGAAGGACTGACTGCCTACGTGGTGTGAATAAGAAAAAAGAACCAATTCGTTTTAACATTACACCTATCTATGGGGGTATTTATTTATTTACATTATTCAATTTAATGTCACCCAACTTTCAAAAGTTTTTAGCAACTACCACACAACAACCAAACCATAAATTATTCCACATCTATTGTCATTTTATCACGCCAGGTACACAAAACTGAGTAAAAGATTAGGCACATGAATAAATTATCAAACTCACAGAACACCAAGTAGACAGGTACAGTCCAAGTACCATATGTGATAAGACATGCATGTAAGTCTACTCAGCTCAAGATAAGCTCTTAATATATGCATAAAGAGATCTTCATTCAAAGGACTGATCCAACCTACTTTTGCATAATGGGTTTCTTTGCTGGATTAGAGAGAAATATCTAGGTCAGTAAGACAAATGCCTGCATTTGTTATTATATGGAAAGATAAAAACATGATATAAAGATGTCCTTTTTACTTTCTACATTTATAATCAGAATTTGTTCAAATGCTATCGTATTTTTCAGGGCTGATATTATTATAAACTATTAGTATACATCTTTAACAGTAAATTTATTTCATGCCTCCTGCATTTTTTATTAAATAGAAATTTCAGTATAGCATATAACTTCCAATTAAAAAATTCATAATTGTTTCTAAGGCTGCTACTCTATCTCCATTTACCTGGGAATGAGCTACAATAAATATATGGGCTTATTTCTAAGTATGGAACTGTTCTGCTGATTGCAATCCTCATACAATAATTTTTAGAATATATTATTCTAAAGCCATTAGACTTACTTTTGAGGAATGTATTGCACAATATTTTTCTAACAAGTAGTAGGTTATCCTGCCAAGCTGGGGGGGGGGGGAATTGGCCAGCGGCCAGCCCACCGGTCAACTGCATCTTTTTTGGGTGGCCTTATCCTTTGGCATGAATGGAAATGGTATACTATAAAAGCAGTAACTGGTAAGTTGTACAATGTATAAAGCAAAGCTATCAAGTATCATTTGTATTGACCTGCTTAAAATGAACTTTAATCCATTAATTGATTGATTGATTTAAAAGCAGCTCAGGCAGCTGCTCAACTAAAATTGGCTGACATCCTTTGAAAATATGTTAATCTAGATCTTTCACCCTTTCAAGTACAAAAGGATGCTAGAATGGCCACTTAAATTATCAACATGGTCTAATTATTCTAAATTGGATGCAAAGATTGCTGCTTCTGCAGATGATGCTATATTTCCAGATACAAAGTTGCATATGAAGTGTGTATTTATAGTACTTTTACTTTGTTACATGCTTCTGATAGCAGTTTGTTTAGCACATTGGTAACATAATTTTTTTTTTACCGCAAAACAATTTCTTTTCTCAATTCCCAATATTAGTTTGTTCTGTCAATAACACTGTTGCCAAGTAATAATACACTGTATATCTTTTTGCTGATTGTATCATTTTCAGCAGCATGTGTGACCAGCAGTCTGTAGCAGCAACATTTCTGAAATTGCTACTGTGTCCAGCTGTCTCAAAATCCTAATAATCATTTGCATTAATGATGCTCTTAATACAATTATTATATACAGGGCTGTTTTCAACATGTTCTATTAATTTGTATGCACAGCAAGGATTTCCTGAAGAGAGTAAAATATTTCCAGCACTATCGTTATGTCCCTTAACAATGGAATTACATTTGGTGTATGTAAAACATCTTTGATGATCGAAAGAATGATTACTTTTCATTTTGTTAAATTATTAGGTATAGAAATGACTTGCATTTATATAATAGCATTTTGCCACTATTAGCATTAACAAATTAAGGGCTATTTTAATGCAATTAATATGCACTGTACAGAGCTATCTACTAAGACTCCATTTCTAATCCACCAATTAAACCAATGAGAGGTATGTTATCTCAAAAATAAACAGCAATCTTGGTTTTAAATTTACAGTTTAAAGTATGTAGTTATCTATTAACTTAAAAACATGGAAACATTAAATTGGAAGGGACCCTTTAGACAGCCAAATTCAACTTTTTCGGTGCGGAAATTTATTTTAATTTCTGGGTTTTTCTTTGTTTAAACACATATAGTGAAGAAAAGCCCAACACCTCTCTGCATGTGTTTCACTGTTGCATTGCTGTTATTAGGTAGATCTTTTTTTCTGACATTCAGTTAGAACTGCCTCTCTATAACTTAATATTTCCCCATATTGTATTCTCTGGAGTAAGTGAGAACAGATCTTGACCTTTTTTCTACATGACATCCTTTCAAATATGTGAAGAGTGCTGTAATATTCTCCCTTAGTCATCTTATCTCAAGGTAAAACAAACCCATCTCCTTTAATCTGTCCTCATAGGACTTAGTTTCTATTAATTTTCACTGCTCTTCAAACCTGTTCCAATTGCTCTAGTCTAGATCTTTTTTATGACATGTGGTGCTTAGAAATGGACACCAGTACTCGAGGCAGAGTGTGACTAAAGCAAAATGAAGTGGAATTATTACTTCTGGTGATTTGAAAATTGTATTTCCATTGATGCAACCTAAAGCATCAGAATTTGCTTTCTTTGTAGCCAAATCCCACTACAAGCTGATCTTCAGGTTTCAGTTAACAACTATTCCAAGTTCTTTTGTCCAAGGATTATTATTAAGCCTGGTATCCCTATCCTATGCATTTGATCTTTTCCCCCCCAAGTAAAGAACTTCATACTTGTTTCCATTAAATGTCATACTTTTACCTTCAGCCCATTTGCCCAAATCTTTTGACTTTTATTTCAGTAGTCTAGACTATTAGCCATTCCATCTAATTTTGGGGTCATGTAGAGATATGCATTCTCACTGCCTCTTCACCCAAATCACTAATGAAAATATTGAAGAATACAATAAGCCCAGGATTGATCTATGTATCACATCATTGATAGTTCTCTCCACCTAGATAAGGAATAATTATTAACATTTTTGGATTACAATCTGAGTCAATTTTAGGTCTACATAATTTCCATGTCATTCAGCCCATATTCACTAGATTATTAATTTATATATAACTGGATATTTTGTGAGAGGCTTTTCTGAAGTCAAGATATGTTTATAGCATTTGCACAACCAGTAACCACATTACCCGATCAAAAAATGATACTATAAAAAGTGATTGTATTGTACTATTACAAAAATAATTCTACTACAATACCATGGGTAAGTTTATTGTGTTCCTGACAACATCCTCACCATTAACTCCATAGAATATGAGGTTTGATTACAACCTCTGCAATATTAATTACAACTATGAAAACAATCATTTGTTGTTATGTGCAAACTTGTCCCACTGAAATTGGAAGGACTACAGAGTGGGCAGGGATAGAAACAAGATTACACTATAAGAATAACTTAAGTAGATTTAACTGGAAGTATGACAAAATTCTGTTTAATTTTTAGTGAGATTTACTGGACATACAATTATACTGAAGTGTGCCTTTTGTTTTCAGATGTCTCTAAATTTTCAGCATCATTATAATCATTCTTATATTTCAGTTGCTTTTTTCTATACCACAAAAGTCAAAATTGTTACATGGTTAGAAGCGGACAGAGTGGGGAAAATTGGTAAGTAATTCTAGTAGGAAAATCAGGTGTATACCCAAGGGTCATTATATTCTGTAACAACAACAAATTGGAATTCTATGCAAACTCCTAGAAAGGGTATATATTTCATCTTTGTAGAAGAGAGAATAACGTAACTGTAACCTAAATTCTTGCCAAGCAATCCATCAGCTCTTGCCAGGAGAATACTTCATCTTAGTTATTGAGCCTTTTTGACATTTTCTTTTAGATGTTCTTCTTTTCTGTATTCAAACACTAATTATACATGTTAAACTTCGTGTGGTTATTATTTAATGTTTTCATATATAAATAGGTATGCATATGCATATTCTAAAATTCAAGGAAACCTCACTTATTCATTTATTCTTTCATATATCCACGCTTAAACTGATGTGCATGTGTAATTTAAGACTCCTGATAAGAAATATTGGCTCAAACTCACTGGGGCTTCCTCACTTATTTTCCAGATAGTTGCAGACAGGATTATAAAATGCAGGACACCAAGGACATATGATTTTAATTGGTTGGTTTTCTAGACATTGGAATGAAAAGTGTTAGTGTGTTTTATTCCTAATATCTTTGTGCCCAAGCTAAAGATGGAACATTGTACATCAGTTTCCAGCACAATTAAATTAACCCAGAAAAGATGCCACATGCCAATTCCCTCCCCAGTGGTAGGTAAAACCATTAAATAGCATTTTAGTTTCTGAGCAACTTACCAAACAAAACAAATATCCTAGTATTTTTTCACACTGAAATACATAAAAAAATTCCCATAATTTTATACCTGCATAAATTTTTAGGGTTATACCATAATTGGCAATTGCCACATGTACTCAGTTTCTATCTGCCAGTTAGTCCTTCAGTCATTCCTCCTTTTTGTTCTGGTTAGTTCTATTATTCGGTATATACATTTACAGTAAATGTGTAAACATTCTTGCATTAATCTTATCTTTAATG